TTGTATACTTGATCATTAAAGGCAAAGTGTGTGATGAGGCATAAGTCTAGTAGTTTGTGTATGTTGTCAATGCTGATGGAGCTGTTGGTCTGCGTTCCTGCTTCCTCTAGTAATGTGGCCAGTGTTTCTTTGGCTAGTGGGATGTCAATTGATGTGAATAATAACGTGATGTCAAAGGATACCATAATCTCATTGTCTATGATTTTTATGTTCTTGAGGGTATTGAGAAATTCTTGAGTTGAGTGGATGGGGTGATCTGTCAACCAGGAGTTTCAGTCTCTGTTGTAGGTCCTTGGCCATTTGTGTGAAAGTGTGACCGGTAAGAAGACAGTGGGTCTGAGGGGGATGTCTGGTTTGTGTACTCTAGAAAGTCCATAGAAGCGGGGGATGTTCATGCCTTCTGGTTTCATTCTCATGTAGTCCGTCTTGGTTATCTGTCCTGTAGCCTTTAGTATTTTCACTGGGTGATCCTGTTACCTAGCTGTGGTGTTGGGTCTATCTCCACCTGTTGGTAAGTGTTTGTATATGCGAGCAGTGCCTGTGCTTTCTAAATGTAGTCCAGTTTGTTTGTGGTGATGGTCTTGCACCCTTTGTCAGCTGGTAGGATTATAATGTTCTCGTCTTTCTTCAGTTTTTCTAGTGCTTTTCTCTCTCATGTGTTCAGGGTATCTCATTTGTTCCTTTGGCTTAGTGTGGGGATTATAGTTTGAGGTTGGTTGGCTCACCGAGCTGGTTTGTCATTTCGCAGACGTTTCATAACCATGCTTGGTAACATCCTCAGTGCAGCTTCTGACGAAGCGTCGGTGTGTTTTCCTGCCTGGTCCATCTCAACGGACCGCAGAGTTTAAAAACCAGTGTGTTGAACCAATGGCCTTATGGGTCCTTTATTTTCTTTGATCAAGTGCCCAATCCATTCCACAAAACAGCTCCGCCAATCAATTTTAAATATACAAGGTAATCAATCAGAAATATTTACATTAGGGAAATCAAGTAGAACGTGTTTGTCGTATAGGAAACAGGAGTTGTGAACTTAACTTAGAACTTAATTGGGAAGAGTGTGCAGAGAATAATGACTCACTGTTCAACAAAATGTAAAACAAATCTCAATGAGACCACTATAATGACCAATTTGCTGGATTGCTGGTCAGGACAAAAGTAAATTAATGCTAGGTTTTGTGATAAACAGAAAATAGCTATTGTAACATAAAGTGGATTTAGATCTTTTTTTGACCTCAGAATTCTTTCTTTTAAGCTTATTTGGATTTTCTGTCTTTCTCTAATCATGGGGAGAGATTGATGCGTTCTGTCTGCAGATGTTTCTTTCTGTTGCCCTGACACACAACTTCTTAACACTGCAACTAAATCAATCAGTGCTGTTGTAAGGCAAAATTTCCTTAACGTGGAAGATTCTTGGTGTTGCTCCATTTCAAATTCTCCCCCTTTCTGGCTTCAAAAACTTTCTGCTGGTATTTCAGTTACAGCTGTTCAACTTGCAATTTAATTTATATTCTCCCCTCACATCACACCGCCCCCCCCATAAAATGTTGTGTCTTACATAGAACACTATCATTAAAGAAAATGAAACACTTTTAAAATGTATTTCATCACCAGATAAAGATAACATATACAAATACAAAAAAAAGACATACATTCACATTCATTAATTCCTTATTCAGGCTTTAAACAATTTTTCATTTACTCCCCAGATTCTTAAACTATTTCAGCACAATCATATTCTTGATAAAGGATCAGCTATTTTTATTATCTTTTCCAGCAATGTGAACAATTTATGTTGAATGAATAAGCTCCATTTGAACAATCTTGCATTTTGAGTCTTAAAATTCTGTACAAAGCAAGTAGTTTATAGTCAGTTTATGTTAGTGTATTTATGTAAATATGACTGACATAGATTTCAAAATGTTGAAAAGCCAAGAATAATACAAAAGTTTTTTTCTACAGTATTTGATATTGGATGAATTTCTGAGAAAAGCTCCCCCCATTCCTGATTCTTCATCTTGCAATAAAACTGCACTTACTCGCCAGTCACTAGCATCAACTGCCATTTTAAAATGTTTCATAACATCAGAGGTGGCCATCAGATTGTCTTCAGCTTCACAAAAGCTGCTTGGCACTCTGCCGACCATACTACCCTTCAGTTTTTGTCACAAATCTGTTAAAGGTACAAATACTGTTCTGATCTTAGGCTCAAATTTACAATAAAACCCATACACTCCCAGAAATCTCATGATTTCCTATTTACTTTTAGGAGCAGCGAATTCAATCAAAGCCTTCACTTGCTGTTCTTGGCAATGCTTGCCCTTGGCCGATGATATTTCTTATGTAAGTCACCCTTGCTTTTGCACATTCAAAAAGGGAGGAATGTGCTTCACCAATAAGAATGTTGTTTTATTGGTACTGTTTCCCCAACATCCACATTAAATTTGGTTAACATAGTACATTCAGGTGTATCTCTATAGATTTCCTAAGTAACCTCGCTAGATCTTCCCATTGTCCTTCCTAGAAGCATATAAAGTAACTATCCCAGTATTTAAGTATTGGCTCGTCAAATTGTAGGAGGTTCACCTTGCCTTGTTTTCCTCTACTGCTTTCACCAAATGACACCTTTACTCTTCATCTTCCTCCCTACAATGATATTACTTTAATATGTTCAGTGACATAACTAGTTCTTCTTGTGTTCAGGTGTATCTACCTGATGAGCCACTTATTTACCCTAACTACCTTGTATGGACCACAGCATCTCACTTTCAAAGGTTCATTTTGTAAAGGTAATAACTAACTTGTCTGCTATTTGAAATATTTGTCTCCCCATTTCTTTCATCTTTGGCTATGATGTTTTAGAATTCTATCCTATTAACTCTGCACACCCACTACACTGCCTACTTGCTTCAGAAACCTCCCCATGTGCACAACTATTAATAGTTGTGCAACTCACTTCCATCCTCCATGATACTTGCCTGTCCCTCAATCCAGGAACAAAGCAGCCCACAATAGGGCCGAGTCAACTCAAATGGTGTGCTATCTGTCATTCAGCTTCTCACCCTTTGTGAACAGAAGATCCTGGCTGACTTCTCCGGGGAGGGCCTGTATGGGTATTGGAGCCTCTATTTGACTTACTGTGCTGGGATCAAAATGTATACGTGTATAAAATCTCAAGGAGACCACCAACACGACCAGTTTGTCTGACTGCTATTTCATCATTAACAGAAAACAAATCTATTTTTTTTAAGCACACAGCTTTAACGCAAACACTAAAAGGAAGGATCTCTAATCTATTATGCAACTTAAAATACACCCTTTTCAACCCCCCTCCCCATTTAATCTCACTCATTCATGCTTAAGGTACGCAAAAGACAAATGATTTAACAGATGTATGGTGTGAAAAGAATCTAGACAGGGTAAATAAAATTCCAATGATCAGAACTCCAGACCACAAGGTGGAAAGTAATTTTCTCTCCGCTTATGATTTTAGCAATATTGATGCACTTGTCTATAGGGGGGTGGTCATTCTTGTTTTAGAATTCTTTTTAAACTTTCTTGTCTTTTTCTGTGTGTTTTCTCAGAAAGAGAGGGGGATTGGGGAAGAGATGGATGTTTCCTATCTGCAGGTTCTTAGAGTTTCTCTCTACTGCCCTTACTCTTATAGCTTAACACACAGCAGCTGAACCAAACAGAGGGCTCTTGTCAGGCAGAACTTCCTTAATTCAAAAGATTCTCCATGCTAGAGATAACAAGGTGTAGAGCTGGATGAACACAGCAGGCCAAGCAACATCTGAGGAGCAGGAAGGCTGACGTTTCCGGCCTAGACCCTTCTTCAGAACCTAGGCCCGAAACGTCAGCCTTCCTGCTCCTCTGATGCTGCTTGGCCTACTGTGTTCATCCAGCTCTACACCTTGTTATCTCAGATTCTCCAGCATCTGCAGTTCCTACTATCTCTGAAAAGATTCTCCATGCTGCTCAGTCTCAAATACTACCATCTTTTCGAAAAGCAATACAGCATCACACAGCTCAAAAATATGTAGCACTTGATTTGTTGAGTTGCAAAACTCTCCTGGTATTCCATCTATTACAGTCCAACTTCTATTCCAGTTTATTAGCTCCAAATAATAAAGGTGAAAATGTTCTCTTTCAAAAGACATTGAATTTTGAATTGTTAGTTATGCAGTTTTCCTCTCCTCTCCTCACGTTGCAGCTAGTGTGATGAAAGGTGTATAATTTATTTATACTAATATCATTTTTGGAGTTTGGATTTCAAAAATCGATGCAGGTGGGTGTTGGGTACTTCTGTGAAGGGTTTTCTTTTAAAAAAAGATCAAGCCCTTCCAGAATATTGTTCAAATGCAACATTTTGAAGTGACAATAGACTCCCGTGGTGTTAATGGAAAAATGTTTATACTGTTTTGTTTACAAAACAATAAACATATAGACCAGTAGCTCTGGTTTCCAATCTGAAGAATTTAGGAAGAACAAGTTTTTCAGGTTTTATTGGTAGAGGGATTGAGTTTCGGAGCCGTGAGGTCATGTTGCAGCTGTACAAAACTCTGGTGCGGCCGCACTTGGAGTATTGCGTACAGTTCTGGTCACCGCATTATAGGAAGGATGTGGAAGCATTGGAAAGGGTGCAGAGGAGATTTACCAGGATGTTGCCTGGTATGGAGGGAAGGTCTTGAGGAAAGGCTGAGGGTCTTGAGGCTGTCTTCGTTAGAGAGAAGAAGGTTAAGAGGTGACTTGATAGAGACATACAAGATGATCAGAGGATTAGATAGGGTGGACAGTGGGAGCCTTTTTCCTCGGATGGTGATGGCTAGCACGAGGGGACATAGCTTTAAATTGAGGGGTGAAAGATATAGGCCAGATGTCAGAGGTAGGTTCTTTACTCGGAGAGTAGTAAGGGCATGGAATGCCCTGCCTGCAAAAGTAGTAGACTCGCCAACTTTAAGGGCATTTAAATGGTCATTGGATAAACATATGGATGATAATGGAATAGTTTAGGTTAGATGGGCTTCAGATTGGTTTCACAGGTCGGTGCAACATGGAGGGCCGAAGGGCCTGTACTGTGCTGTAATGTTCTATGTTCTAAGTTCAGGAGACATTGATGTTGTGTTTGGAAGCAAGTTTAGTTTCTTGCCTAGGAGGATGATTCAGAGCAGTTCAGAAAACAAGTCACCTCAGCAGAAAGGTTTAGCTTGTGGAGTTTACAAACCAGAAGAAATCTGGTTAGAAATCTGTGGGTTATTAGATTGGCAAAAGTTTAGGCTCTCAGATTTGTGAAAACTTCACAGCAGTAGATTTGGAAATGACTCCTCAAACTTGCCATAATCCTCAGAAAAGAATATGGAGGGAGTCAGTTAAGTGGAATGCTAGAGATGTTGAGATAGAGGGTGTAATTACAGGCTGAAACAAGCTGAAACTTTGTTTTGCTTTGTACTTTGAAATAATTCTGTCAAATATCATTAGGTGGCTTGTTTTTTAAAGTTTCTATTGTGCAATAATTTTTTGTTCTGTAACCTTGTGTAAATATGACTCAGTGACTAACCATCATATTAATTAACTTGTGAGCATCTGTCAGATCACATTTCATTCTGGAATCCAACTTCTCCAGTAGGACCATCAACTGCAATCTTAACACTAGTCACTCTTTCCTTCCTGTTTCACTTTCTCCTTCAGGTGTGACCATCTTGACAGAAACCTCTCATTGCTGAGTGTGGCCAACTGGTGCAGGAGCTTGAAATTTCTCCTGCATATTATTAAATACCAAAGCTCTGTGCATGCATCTGGATTTCCACATCACACTCTTCGTATCAGCTTCTTGATCCTACCCTTCCTCTGCTCTGTAGTTCACACCCAGTCTAGGTTTCATTTATATTAGTTGTGCCACTTTTTAAGTCTTGTGCATTCAGGTCCACTGTAGCAGTGCTGAACTCTTGTCAAAAATAAAACTGATTCTTTCACCTTTTTGCAGCAAATTCGGTTTTCCTAAGTCCTTACAGCTCAGCAGAATTGAACACAAGTTGGACGCAGTCATGGTATTGTCGAAAAAGTGCCTGAACCTGCACAAGAGCCAAAGATGATGTCTTTTGTACAACCTGCCCAATGGAATGGAGCAATGAGACCAAGGAGTAATGAACCCATTTTCAATTTTAATTTGTTAACTAGACAGTAAAAAAATAGGTGGTATAAAGCATCAATTTAAAAAATTTACAAACCATTTAACAATTGAACAGAAGACCTTTCTCTGAAAGTGAACAAAAAGTCACTTTCTGTCCCTGTCATCTGACTTTTTTCTGCTGTGTCTCAGGGCTTATGATTTCTTTCACATTTCTGACAAACCCTCTATGATAGATGTTTCCCCGTAAGTATTTGCTTGGCTGGCTGTTGTCCATGTGGCATAGGCAACTGTTCTTATGTTTGTACCACTCATTTGAAGTCTGATTGGTTATCAGCAAATAGAAGTGAAATGCAGTATAACCTGCCAGCAGAAAGAAGATGAGGAGTGTGAAGCCCAGCATGAAAAGGATCCGAGGAAAGGTCAGGAACAGTCTCTGCAAAAGAGACAATGTTAGTTATCAAGGACGTGGAGTCAGAGAAAGCATCAGTAAGTGACAAGTCCATAGCATCCTATATGCAGTTTCTTGACCTCAAAATTATCACAATGAATTTTTAAGAAAGATTTTTTGCACGTATATCACATCTTTCATGCCTTTAAGAAAACCCATATCATTTTTGATTTTTGCGGTTATGATGTAGAAGATGAGGCAGTCAATTTGCTTACAACAAAATCCAAACAGTAATAAAGATTTGATAATCTTTTCAGGTGAAGGTTTTGGCGGAAAACTCCCATGCTCTTTTTTGAATTGTGCTGTAGGTTCATTGATGACCAGCTGCAAGGTAGACAGGGCCTTGGTTTAATGTCTTATTAGGTTGAGCTGTACTGTCTCAGTACTGCAGGGTAGTGTCAACCTAGATTTCATGCTCTTGTTTCTACAGTGATATTTGAGCCCAAAGGCCTTCTGCCTCAATATTGTACTACAGTGACAGCTTGCTTAACAGGGTGGAACTAGAGTTCAGTACATCTCAGCAATTTTAACCCAAACAGTTGCAGATTTCTCAGAGGCTTCAACAGATCAGTTCAAAAGTTAATTATTTCATAATTGAGGCATGAATAACACTAAGTGCAGGGCAGCTGCAAGGAGAGAAAACATAATTAGTAAATAAATTATGCAACCAGTGGGCTATAAAAAGCTTGTAGGTTATTAGAACAAAGGACGATTGAGGAAGATGAAGAGTTGCATTGTTTTGAGGCCTATGAGAGAATTAATTGTTAAGAATTGATCTTTTGAATATATATTTAAATTACAATGGACCCATAGCAAAGCTGTCAGCAAATGTGATAGTGCTGAAAATAATGGAACAAGTGGATTGAACACAAGGATTTGGACAAGCTGGTGTCAATCTTCTGCATTATTCACAAACTATGTTAATTGAGAAACTAGAAGTTTATTAACTACTGTAAAATGATGCTTCATTGCTAAAGTTTTATTGTTCAATGCTAAACTTTGAGAGGAAGTTGAGGCCTGTCCAAGTCCATCATTGTTCTGCTGATGACAATAAGGACAAGTGAAATTATTCATTAAAAACAACTTTCTGAACCAACATAAAATGGGGCATTTAGAGTTTGATCCCTGGGCACAAGGGGAAGATCGACCATTTTTTTTTCAAGTTATCTCTGACATTTGATTGATATTTTACTTTGTTTAAAGGAAGTTCTACTCCTGCAGGCCAAAATCGATTTCCTAGTAAATGGCTTTTCTGCCAATTATGTGAAGCAAACAACCTTTCTGTAGCACAAGGATTCTGGAAGTTCATCTAACAGCAGCTGGGTTTTGCAAAATCCTGAAAAAAAATACAGAATCCTCTGCAGAATTAAAGAGTTATCAAGAACCCTACCTGGACTATATATAGGTTGCCAACAGGCACATGTTCGCCATCAGCATTCACATACATTGCCTGATGTAAGTTGGACATCAGAGCCACCTGGACAAGGAACCTTACAGTCACTGTTCCCACTGCGGCTGCCATCCCAGACAGTGTCACCAGGTACAACAGGAAGTAGCGTATATTTAATGCCCCAATGCAGTTATTCACCCAGACACAATGGTGGTCAAATCGATGGACACACCGGTTACACACACCTGAGAGGGAGGAGAGGGAGAAGAGGAAACTATTACCAGGGGTCCCTGTATTTCTGATATCTAGCACATACAGGAGGAATAAAAACCTTCTCTTTTTGCAATTCTGTAAATACTGCTTATAATTAGGGAAGGCAATGGCCTAGTGGTAGTATCGCGTGACTGTTAATCCAGAGACCCAGGTAATGTTCTGGGGACCTGGGTTTGAATCCCACTACAGCAGATGGTGGAATTTGAATTCAATAAATATCTGGAATTAAGAGTCTAATTATGACCATGTCAGGAAAAACCCATCTGGTTCACTAATGCCCTTTAGGGAAGGAAACTGCCATCCTTACCTGGTCTGGCCTATATGTGACTCCAGACCCACAGCAATGTGGTGGTTGACTCTTAACTGCCCTCTGGGCAATAAATGCTAGCTAGATGCCCTCATCTGCTGAATGAATAAAGGGAAAAAAAAGGAAAATCAATCCCCTAGAGAAGACTGTGTCTGGGTTTGGCACTAAATATCCAAACTCTCTCAGGTACTTCTTGGGGAGTTGGAAATAATGCTAGAACACATGCTGGGTGGTAGCTCAGACGAGGTACTGGACAGCACATATGGATCTGTGAAAGCTAACACTTTCAGGAAGGAAACAATGATCTAGTTTCAGTATCACAGCTAGTAGAAGCAGTTCATCATTAACACCCATATGATCCACTCACCCATATAATCCATAAGGGATCTGTTTGTTAATATATATTACTAGTCATTAGTAGATCAGTTGAATGTTCTTGATTCCTCTGAAGGTCGCAAAATACAAAAGCCTATTGTTTTCCCACTACTACTCTGATGGCCCTGTCCACTTTGTTTGACCATTTCCAATCTGCAACTGAGCTTTTTAAATATTTGCATGTTTTATGCATTGTTTAAAGAGGAATTCCTGCAACTTCACTTAATCTTGTGAATTTTCTACAATTAGCAGAAGTCAGTGGCCTCAGTTTGTAAACAGTGAGACTGTAGGATCCAAACTATCTGACATCTCACAAATTTTTAAGTTGTGACTGGCCACGTGTTCATTAGCTGGAGAGTAGAATTCACTCCTGTGCTAGGAGAAAAGAAACAAGACACTGCAATAACACAGCAAGAATCTTAATGGCGCTGTTTTCCAAAATTGTTTTGTAAATTTCTTACGGCAGTGCTTTGATCGTGCAGGCTTTGTAAGTTCACACGTAGGGCAGATGTGGGACTGATGATACAAAATTCCATCATAGGTGTACACTTTCAGCAGTTGCTTGTGGTTTGAAGGAGAAATCGTACCTATGAGAATCAAGCACAAAATTCACATTGAGCTCAAAAACTAATGATCAATTGCTCCAGATTCCATGAATAAATCAAGGCAATCATAGCCACAAATTAAAAGTATCTGAAACCGAGTACTCGTGGAAGGTCAGTCACCTAAACCATTGATTCTTGTTGTTCTCTCTCCACTGACGCTGCCTCACCTGTTCACTTTTTCCAGGATTTTGTTTTTAATTTCAACCATTCAGCAGCAACTTGTACTTTGTTTGACCTAATTTGTAATATAATTCCTCTAACTCCCTGACTCTGCCCAGGCTGTTGAGGGTTGTTGTATGCTCAAAATAAACAGCTGATCAGGTGTTCTGCTCCTTTCTTCAGGGAAGCATGAGGCTTGGCCCTGCTGACTCCATCTGGCAACCAGGATGAGATTGGCAATATCAGGTAGCTTTTCCGCAGAAAGTTCCCAGAACCGACCTAGCTCAATACATGGTCAGTATTTTGGAGAACTTTAAACCAAAAGCAAATGATGTTTAACTTGAATAAAGGCAATATACTATAGATGCTGGAAATTGGAAACAACACACAAACTGATGGAGAAATTCAGTGGTGTGGCAGCATCTGTGGAAAGAGAAGCAGAGTTTACATTGAGACTGATATGACTCGTCTTCAGAAGGCGTTTTTTGATTTGTACATTGTAGTCACTTGTTTGTACAGATACAAATGGCAGGCGAAGAAACTGTCTTAAAAGATTCCCATTTCTATAGTTCCTTCATGCACCGCTGCCAATTTAATACTTTTCTGAGTGCAGTTACTATTGTGATTCAGGACGCATGGCAGCCAATTAACCACAGTAAGGTCCCATAAACAGGAATGGGATAATGACCAGGAAACCTTCAGTAATGTGGTTTGAAGAATAAATATTGTCCAGGATACGAGGGGAGAAGTTCCTTGCTCTTTTTCAAAATAATGTTGCGAGATGCTTTATGTCCAGCCGAGAGGGCATATGGGACTTTTGTCTCATCTGAAAGATGGCACCTCTGACTGTGTGGCTGGGATGTCAGCCCAAGTTGCAAACAGAATTTGAAACCACAATCCTTAACTCAGTGGCAAGACTGCTACCAACTGAGCCACTGCTGTCAGTGAAAACAGGCCTTCGTTAGCTAAAAGAAGATGACAACTGATTTGCTCGACACATCTGTCTATCTAGTTGCTTTAACAGTCTCTCTCTTACCGGGGTCTCTGGTGCAGCATAGATAGAAAAAGTACATCTTCCCAAGCACCAGGATGTAAGGAAGCAGCAGGATACTATGTCCGAATCCCAGTTCCATGCAGTAAGGAAACACTTCCCATGAATACTCTCCATACACAGCTACTTCTAAAAGAAGGTGCAAAACCAGGAAAAAGGAGTTTCTGTTAAAGGAAGAAACAAGTGAAATATCAGAGTCTTGATTTGCTTCATTGTGCTTCACAATAATTCAGGAAGCCCAAGTGGAAAGGAACATCATTTATTGTTGAACACAAAAATACTTACGGCATGCATAGGTTAATCCCAGCCCAGGGCAGACAGTTCTGCAAATGCATCCCTGCAACAACCTCTACAAGGAGATTAATTAGTGATTCCCCATAGGTCTTATAGAGGTTATTTGCATGCCTCAATTTTTTTAAGCTGAAGTATTCTTGTATTCACAAAGAATTATCCTGTATATTACCTTTAGAATTCTGCTTGAGGTGATCTTTCTTTTGCATTGTGCAAACCTACTTGTTCAACTTCTATTATGCAAACCGATACGGAGTTTGGACCAGAATTTCAGAAACACATATTTCTGTCAGGACTTAATGTTTTCAAATGAATAGAAAATGCCACAAGGAAACAAATGTTTGACAACAATAAGGGATTGTGGAAACTGTGAAGTAAAATACAGGAACTTTAGCAAAGTGGGTAGCAAATAAATAGAATAAAGCACATTTTGGAACAGAGTACAAATAGATCTTTAATGTTGAAATTCTCAACAGGATACTAAGTGCAAAGCCATAAGACCAAAATGATATCCTGGCTTGTATAGGTACGTTCCTGAATATAAAATCAAATGGTTAATGAAGAAAGTCCACATGCATTGGTTAGACCACTGCAGGAATACTGCACATCAATAAAATAATAATGGAACATAAGAAAGGTGTTACACAGATTAAATGTGATGAGACCCTGAGAGAATACAACTAGAATGAGAGGCTTGAAAAAGAAACATTTACATATATGTAGTGCTTTTCACAACCACCTGACACCTCAAAGCACTTTAAAATGATGTAGCTCCAAAGCACAGTAACAATTAAGTAGGAAACACAACTATCAATGTACAACAAATATGCCCAAACATTAATTTGATAATGATCAAATTATCTGTATTTAAGATATTGATTAACAGATAAGTATTGATTTGATTTATTACTATCATATGTACCAAGGTACAGTGAAAGGTCCTACATGCTTTACAAGCAAATCGTACTATATAAATGCATGAGGGTAACAGAACAGACTGCAGCATATGGTGTTACAGCTGTCGAGAAGTGCAGAGAGAGATCAACATTTAAGCAGTCCATTCAAAAGTCTGATAACAGCAGGGAAGAAGCTGTTTTTGAATCTGTTCGTACGTGTATTCAAATGTTCATATCTTCTGCCCAAAGGAAGAGGGTGTGAGAGAGTATAACTGGGGTGGGAGGGGTCTTTGATTATGTTGGTTGCTTTCCCAATGCAGGGAGAAGTATAAACTAAGTCAATGGATGGGATAACAAGGTGTAGAGCTGGATGAACACAGCAGGCCAAGCAGCATCATAGGAGCAGGAAGGCTGACAGTTCGGGCCTAGACCCTTCATCAGAAAATGGATGGGAGGCTGGTTTGCGTGATGAACCAGGCTGTGTTCACTCTCTATTGGCCAAACACTGGGGTTAACTGGTCTGCTCTTCTTCAAAGTAGCACCATGGAATCTTTACGTCCACCACGCAGATAGAGCTTCAATTTAAGAATCTTTATCAAAAGATTGTGCAGCAGTCCCTCAGCACCACACTGGAGTGTAAGCTCTGCTTTCAAACTGAAGCCCTGGTGTGGAACTTGAACTCAATCTTGTGTTTTAGAGGGGAGTTCTACCAACTCGCCCACAGTTGGCATTATTCACTGAAGAAACTCATTGGAAAACTATTCATTAGGTGCAGTGAATGGAGGATCTGATGAAAATGTATAAAATTCTTAAAATGTTTAGTACCCAACTGATTCAGCCAACCAGGCTAAATCCTAGCTTTAACTGACAGCAGTACTGCAGTAAGCAGATCGTAATTCGGTGCCAAATGTGACATACTGATGGAGAATAGATATGTGCAGATGATTTCAGAATGTCCTCACTTACCTCTGGTGGACGAACCTATGTAAAGTAAGCTGTACTGCTAACTGTAACCATTGAGGAATCACTGGTCCAAACACCTATTCATGACAGAAAGAAAACAGGCGTGAGAAAGAGCGAAGGAACAAACATAGAAATGGCTGGAAAAACTCAGCAGGTCTGGCAGCATCTGTGAACAGAAATCAGAGTTAATGTTTTGGGTCTAGTATTCTGAGGTAGGGTCACTGGACATGAAACATTAACTCAGATTTCTCTTCACAGATGCTGCCAGACCTGCTGAGCTTTTCCAGCAACTTCTGTGTTTTTTTCTGATTTACAGCATCCACAGTTCTTTCGGTTTTTAGAAAGAGAGAAGGGACTTGCAGATGATCAGGTCCAGAGACTTGTTGGTCCATCAATTTTCATAATACTTTTACTCTATGTTTAGTGACTGCGTTAAGTTCCTCTGTCCGTTTTAACCCTGCTTTTCTTCAACTCTGTGAAGACAATTACAAAATACTTGTTCAAAGTCTATGAATTCCTTGTATTCCAATATTAAAGCCTGTCCGTCCTTTGCATAATCATTCTTTCATTGTTGAGAGTTACAAAATAATTATTTCACCACTGATTGTTCTGAACTAGCAAGGAAGGAAAAACCTACTTGACTTCACCAATCTATTTGTTACTGATGCATCTGTCCATGACAGCATTGTGGGAATGACCACAGCAGAGTCTTCATGGAGTCTTCATACAGGAGGACATGTTCCTTTGTGTTGTGTAGCAAGAACCCTGTGCTAAATGGGATAGAATCAGAAGAGATCTAGCTGCTCAACCTGTGTATCCCTGGGCCATCAAAAACTGAATTGTATTCCACTATAATTTGTAACCTCAAGGCCAGGCTTATTCCTCAATCTACTCTTCCCAGCAAGTCAAGGGACTGAGCCATTCCAATGAGGAGTGCAGGAGAACTTCACAGAAGCAGCACCGAGCTTACCATTTAAACCCATCACCTCTGCTGCCTTGAAGGGCAACAGCAGCAAGTGAGAAATAGGAGAGAATGGAAGTTGCTTTCCAAGGTGATAGAACATCTGGATGTGGAAATATGCTGCCAATCCAGGATCATCACTGAATCAAAATCCTGAGACTTCCTATCCAACAGAAATATAGGTATGGCTATACAATAAAGATTGCAGCAGTTTAAGACATGGCTTATCACCTTTGCAACAGCAGACTGGGACAAGCAATACGACACTACATCCTACGAACAACTATAAAGAAACTAAAACCATATATCCAGCCGGGATTTCGACCATATACCAAAAAATTAACCTGTTTAGGCAGCAACATGAAGGTCGCCAAGTGGAGCATCTCCTAATGTAAACTAAGAGAATCAAATCGCTTTCCTAATTAATTGATTCAGGATCTTATTCCCCAAATGTTCACAGTCTGTAATAATCAATATTGTAGAATATAAAAAGAATTATTGGAGATGATTATAAAAGATAGGATTAATGGACATTTAGAGAGGCAAAAATTGATTAGGGATAGTCATCATGGTTTTGTGCCAGGAAAATAGTGTCTCACAAACTTGCTTGATTTTTTGAGGAAGTTACCAAAAAGATTAATGATGGCAGAACAGTAGGCAGTAATTAGTAAAGCCTTTGACAAAGTTCTGCATGATAGACTAATTAGTAAAGTTAGGTCAAATGGGATTCAGGGGGAGCTTGCCAATTGGATACATAATTGGCTTTATGAGAGGAGAAAGAGAGTAATGGTGGAGGGTCGCTTTTTGGACTGGAGGCCTGTGATCAGTAGTATTCCACAAGTTTAAAGTTTTGACAAAGAACTGTAAACTCGGGTTGTGAGTGAGGTTGTTGACTTGCTCGCCGAGCTGGCTTGTTCTCGCTCAAACATTTCGTCACCATGCTAGGTGACATCATCAGTGCAGCTTCCGATGAAGCGATGTTATTTTACTCCGCTTGGAATATATACTGCTTGGCCCGTTATGGTGAGTAGTGTCATTTTTGTTTTTTTTCCATAACTAGAAATGGTACTACTCACCATAATGGATCAGACGGTATAAATTCCAAGCGGAGCACAATAACATCGCTTCATCGGAGGCTGCACTGATGATGTCACCTAGCATGGTGACGAAACGTCTGAGTGAGAACAAGCCAGCTCGGCGAGCAAGTCAACAACCTCAGTATTCCACAGGGATTGTTTCTTGGTGCTCTTTTGTTTGTCATTTATATAAACGATTTGGATGAGAATATAGGAAGCATGGTTAGTAAGTTTGCGGATGACACCAAATTTGGTGGAACAGTAGACTGTGAAAAAGGTTTTCTAAGATTACGCAAGGATCTTGATCAAATGGGTGAATGGGCCGAAAATGGCAGATGGAGGTCAATCTGGATAAATGACAGGTATTGCATTTTGGTACGACAAACAAGGGTAGGGCTTTTACAATTAACGGTAGGGCCTTGGGTAGTGTTGTAGAACAAAAGGACCTAGGGGTTCAGGTACATAATTCTTTGAAGTTTGCATCACATCTCGATGGGGTGGTTAAAAAGGCATTTGATGTGCTTGCCTTCATTGCTCAGTTTTTTGAGTATTGGAGTTGGGAGGTCATGTTGAGGTTGTACAATCTGGAATACCATGTCCAGTTCTGGTCACCCAGTTATAGGAAGGATATCGTTAAGCTGGAGAGGGTTCAGAAGAGATTTACCAGGATGTTGCCGGGTATGGAACATTTGAGTTGTAACGAAAGGCTGGATAGACTAAATTTTTCAGTGGAGCATAGGAGGTTGAGAGGCAACCTGACAGGAGTTTATAAAATAATGAGGGCTATAGACAGAGTTAATGGTAGTTGTCTTTTTCCTAGGACGGGGGATTCAAGGCAAGACGGCACATTTTTAAAGCGCGAGGAGAGAGATTTAAAAAAGATATGAGGGGCACATTTTTCACATAGAGGTGGTTCGCATGTGGAATGAACGTCTTGAGGAAGTGGTGGATATTTAAAAGACATTTGGGTAAATACATGAATAGGAAAGTTTTGGAGGCACATGAGCCAGGAGCAGGCGAGTGGGACTAGTTTAGTTTGGGATTACATTTGGCATGGACTCGTTAGACCAGAAGGTCTGTTTCCATGCTGTATGACTGTATGACTCTATAGTCTGTGAGTTTGTGCATTCCATTCTCATAACTCTTTCCCCACAGATTGTGATATTTTTCTGAGATCTTTTCTTCTACTTGCAGTCAATTCTATAACATTGCCATATATTATGGTCAATCACCAAAAGAAATTCAGGAAAAGCTTTATTACTCAGAAGTAGTTAGAATGGGATACAAAATGAAAGTGTAAGATCGTGGACAATGACACATCCCTCCCTGAGACACTCGATGCTTTCTATGCTCGGTTTGAGTGTGGCAACACCCGCCCCGAAAGCCCCAGACACACCTGTTCCCTCTGTCACCGCTTCAGAAGTCAGATCAGTCTTCCTGGGAGTCAACCCAAGGAAAGCAATGGGCCTGGACAGTGTCCCCGACCGAGCACTCAGATCCTATGCGGACAAACTGGTGGAGGTATTCACCGACATCTTCAACCTCTCCTTCCTACAAGCTGAAGTCCCCATGTGCTTCAAAAAGACGACTATCATCCCCATACCCAACATAACACATGCACTGTGCCTTAATGACTACCACCCAATAGCTCTGACTTCAATAATCATTAAGTGCTTTGACAGGCAGGTCATGACCCACTTCAACTACAGTTTCCCAACCTGCCTTGATCCTCTCAGTTTGCCTACCAACATAACAGGTCCACAGAAGATGCCATATCCCTAGACCTGCACTCATCCCTGGAACATCTGGACAACAAATACACGTACCTCACACTCCTGCTTATTGACTACACCTCTGCCTTCAACAATTATCCCCTCCAGCGTGGTCTCAGCTCCGCCCTCTGCAAGTGGATCTTCAGCTTTCTGACCCATAGGCCACAATCAGTGAGGATAGGTAACTGCACCTCCTCCACAATAACACTCAACACCGGAGCCACCCAAGGATGAGTCCTCAGCCCCCTACTGTACTCCCTGTACACCTAAGACAGTGTTGCCAAATTCCAAACAAATGCCATCTACAAGTTCGCTGACAACAGCACCGTAGTCGGACGGATATTTAACGAGTCAAAATACATAAGGGGGAGGGAAAGAGGGCTTGGTGACGTGGTGCAATGAAAATAATCTGTCTCTCAACTTCGGCAGAACTAAAGAACTGATCATTGTCTTCGGAAAGAAGGGAGGAGATCATGCCACCACGTACATCAACAGAACTGAGGTGGAGAGGGTGAAGAGCATCAAGTTCCTTGGATTGACGATTACCAACCTGTCCTGGACCTCCCACATAGTTGCGACAGTCAAGAAGGCACAACAATGCTTCTTCTTCCTCAGGTGGCTCAGGAAATTTGGCAAGTCCATAAGGTCCCTCACCAACTTCTACAGATGCACCATTGAAAATATACTATCCAGGTGCATAATGGCCTGGTATGGCAACTGCTTTGCCCAGGACCATATGAAACTTCAGAAGATGGTGTGCACAGTCAATCTTCCATCCATGGATTCTATTTACACGGCTCGCTGCCGTGGAAAGGTGGCCAACATCATCAAAGACCCATCGCACCCTGGTAATGATCTCCTACAACCTCTTCAGTCAGGCAGAAGATACAGAAGCCTGAACACAGGCATGAGCAGGTTCAGGAACAGCTTCTTTCCGGCCATTATCAGACTGTTGAATGGACTCTAGCCTCAAATTATGTAACCTGCAATGTAACCTGTATGCCTCTAAGTCTTTTTGATCTGCCTGTGCCGCTTGTAAACAAAGCTTTTCACTGTATTTCAGTACATGTGATAATAAAATCAATCGAATGAGGAACTCACTATCAAGTGGAGTTGAGGCAAATAGGATAGATACATCCAGGGGAATCTAGATAAAAACATCAGGGGAAGAAAGGAATAGAAGACTATTGAATTCCAGTAGTACAACCAGGTGAATCAGGAGGCTGCAGTGGGGCATTACAACAGCATGGACCAGCTGGACTAAATGTCCAGTTTCTGTGCTGTGTTATGTCGTACTTATCCTGTTCACATTTAAATATAGTGATTACATCAGTTTCAGTAATTGTGAGAAGAATAATAATTTCTACAGAAGGACAAAAAGAGAAAGAAAATGAATGACAAGCACAACTGATAGAGAAAAAAAGAGCTACAGGAAAATAAAGCACATCAACACCATAAAAGACCCATTAGAAAATCTGCCCAAAGGCAAACTGGAGAATGGGATCCAACTGAAAAAAATTGTACTCATTTTGCAAAGAATGTCTGCTGTTTGGTCCATAAGCAACGACTGACTGCATCTCACACCAGTTCGGGCTACTATCTACAATCCTACTCAGTCTCTATTCACTGTTTCAAAACATTTATTTCAAATCAGCAAGCTATTTAGTCAGAGTGGATATCACAGCCAAGCAGTCACTTTTATGGATTCTGATTAAATCTTATCGACCTGAAACATTAACTTTATTTCTTTCTCCACAGATGCTGCCGGCCCTGCTAAGTACTTCCAACAATTCTTATTTTTTACTTTCCAGAAGAGGTCACTCGATAGTGATCAGTACCAGGAACCCTTGCTGTTTTCCCCTTTACCAGTTCTGGGATATACAGCCCAGATTTTGCACTTCGGCTCCTAGTGATGAGATCAGCTGGTTCAACATCAACCTGGAAAGGAAACACATTCCTAATAAGTTGCAGTTACCCGAGTGATGTAGTGCGAGATCCTTGTGAAACATTCCTGACTTTGCCTCGAGAATTTGATGGCAACCACCATGCAGAAGAGGCAAACAGCCAAGTAAATGAGAAACAGAATAAGGAAATCCATCTCCGTGCCCAAAATATAACCCAGTATCAAGGCCAGGATCTGTTCAGTTGTTGAAAGTCAGCACCTGAGAGACAGAACAAACCACATCAAAATTGTTGACTTTACTGTTGCATTTTATTAGTATCTTCAAATGTTGGGACTAATGATTCACAAGGTGTATTTTCCATTATAAATTAGAATCAGAGACAAGAGAGAGAGTAAGTTAGGAATAGCTGAGATAGGAACCTGTGCCGGAATTATCATTCCAGTCTACAATACTTGAAATTGTCCAATTCCTCCACCATTAATTTTGTGTTGTTCCAAATTATCAAAATATAATTATAGATAAATGATATACATTCACTTGCAATATCTTTACGATATCATCAGCTTGAAGCATTAACTACAAGGACTGCAAGGGAGTTGCACTATGATCTATGGGCTGTGCGAGACCATACCAGAGCTTAACTGGGCAGGGGTCCATATTGAGTTAGCCGGATAGCTGAGACACAGAAACTATCAATATGTTTCCTGTGTCTACAGACAAGCTAATAGAAAATCACCTGGAAGACTAATGTTTGAGTAATATAGAGCAAATACTGCATCTCCTGGACAATATATATGTTCCTAGAAGTATAGCCATCTCAGGGATATGTCGGTATGACTAACCAGTGATTCTGCTAGAGATTGAAGATCGAAAACCATTATTACAAATGCAGAAAATGAGAAATTGTGAGCGCTATTTAGCCAGGAAGCTTTTCTCTATAATTGTCTTTTTATGAATACTTGTGGTTCACTGGTAGTCTGTCTGGTTTGTATTATAAGAGTTCGGCTATCTTTCAACAGGCCTTCAAGATCCTGATGAGTTCTGTGCTCCTATACAGTATTTTCTCATTTGCTTCCTGGTACATTTTCAAATGCTGTCTATTGTGTTTTATTTTTATTAATTAAGTTTGAAATTAATCAATATCATAATTTCACGAACTTAGTTACTTCCTTTATCTTACAAATCAACACAGAGTATTACTATTGATCAGAAATTTATGGGGACCATCATATAAACATTCTGGTGATATGATCAGGTCAGAGGGCAGCAATTATGTGGCAAATAACTTATCTTGACACTCCAAAGCCTGTCCACAATCCACGAGGTGCAAGTCAAGCTTCTAATAGAGTACTCTCTGATTGCCTGGTGAGTGCAGCTCCAACAACAGTTAAGAAGCTCAACACCACCTAGGATAAAGCAAACCTTAAACATTCACTCCTTGCACCACTGACACATGCAGCAATTACACACCATCTACATATGCACTGTAGCATCTCACCAAAGGTCCTTCAGCAACATCTTCTGACTAATGAATTCCACTACCTAGAGGCACAAGGGCAGAAAATGCTAGAGAACACTTTCACCTGGAAGTTCCCCTTCCAGCCACACACTGCCCAAACTTAGAATTACATCTTTCCTTTACTGTTGCTGCATAAAAATCTTGCAACTTCCTTCTGAGTAATACTGTATCTACACCACATGCACCACAATGGTTTAATAAGGCAGGTCACCATCACCTTCTAAAGAGGAATTAGGGATAGGCAACCAATACTTACCATTCGGTGATGCCCACATCCCTTGAAAAATATTATTAAACTCTTGCCCCACTTCCCATTTCCCAACCTGTCACTTATTTGTCCCTCCGATCCCCACTTTCCTTGTCCCCACCTTCTTCCATCTACTTCCCTCCAAACCCAACGCATCCTTGCCCCTCCAGACCTGCATCCTGCCCACTAACTTCCCCTTCGCGCACAAAAACACAAGATTATATGGCTCATCGAATCCACTCTATCATGGCCAATCCTGGACTTCAGTTTTACTTTCTCACCCTCTTTCCTTATCCGTTCATTCCGTCAGGTCCCGGGATCTCAGCCGACCCTCTGGGGTAGGCAAATTCTACTCCAGTACAGCTCATGCACTGTCCACCTCCTCCCACTGACCTCTCTGCCCAACAACTGAATCCCGCACCTTTCCCACCCACTCTCTCCCTCTTACCCCACTCTTTGCCCAGTCCCTCTCCTATCCCCCGTCTCACTCCAAGCGCCATCACTGCCGTGTGTTCCTTACCAGCTGAGATTCCTTCACAAGTCAATGAACCGAAGCGGAGCGGACGTACCGGAAATGCGGACGATGTCACTCAAACGGTCTCCATGGTGACCGGACCAACCAGCTAATTGGCTGCTCCTCGGGAAGCTCGGGCGAGCGGCAGCGCACGCGCAGTGGTAAGCAGGCGAATGGTGGCTCACGCGCTCTGGTAAGCAGGCGAACGGCGGCGCACGCGCAGTGGTAAGCAGTTGAGCCGTGGCGCGGATCCCGGGAGCACGTGAGGAGTGAGAGACGGATCTTCCAGCTGTCAGTAATATTTGAGACTCTAACCTGATGATTGTTTGTTTACAGCATCGTCCGCTTTTATTTCTGTTCAATCTAATCCCACTTTACAGCCTTTGCAAGATATGACATGTCCAAGTAAATCTAGCCTCTAATCTCTCTGCCAATGATTTTAAACCTGGGTTGCCTGGTCAGTGATCTGTTCGCTAATAGAACTGGGTTATTTCTGTTCACCCATTCGAGGCCCCTCATAATTTTATGCCCTCGATTAAATCTCCCCTCAGCCTCCCTGTGTCCCCAGAACAGGAACACCAGCCTATCCAATCTTTCCTTATCGCTAAAATTCTTCCTTTTTGGCTCTGTTCTTATAAATCCCCTCTGTAGCTTTCCTTATTCAATCATCTTTCCTTAAGACAGTGCCAGAGATGTAAACACTGTTCTCTGCTGTGATCTAATTAGAATCTCATACAGTTCTGCTACAATATCCCTGCTTTTATTTTGTGTTTTGGCTAATACAGAAACCAAAAGCCAAGTTGAACACTTTATTTACCTGATCTGCTATCTCCAGGCGTCTTTGGTCATACATTCCAAGGTTCCTCTGCATGTCACAGTATCCTATCATTTATCGTGTATCTCTTGCCCTGTCTGTCTGCCAAAATGCATAATATCATATTTCTCTTGATTGTGTTTCATTTGCTATTTTCTGCCCACCAGTTCAGTGATTTCTTCCTGCAATCTACAGCTTTCTTCCTGACAATTGCTATAATGCCCACAGAGACAATAATTTTTAATAAGATAAATAAATTTCCTACTCGAATTGTGCAACAAGGTTTTGTGTTTTAAGATTTTAAGTCAGGAGTTTAGTCATCACTGCTGTTGTCTGTCCCTCTGGGCTCCATCTCCATTCCCCAACCATGATTTTCAGCATAAATACTGCCTTTCCCAAGCTAAAATCAGTTCTGAAGGTGAGCCACTGGATCTGAAACACTGACTCTGCTTTGTCTCTACAGCTGCTGCTAGACCAGCTGAGTTTCTCCAGCAACTTCTGTTTTTGTTTCAGGTTTCCAGCATCGACTGTTTTTTGTTTAATGTTTCTTTGATATTTTGATGAGAAACGTTAGTGCTAATTAAAAGAATACAATAATGCCTGGATTGTGTAAAATTCACTGTTAGCCCAAAAGCAGATGCCTTGTCATGTTCCTTATCCAGTTCAATTTGAGCCTTTTTCACAGATGGCCTCCCCAATGGTATTTGATACCACATCTATGCTGAGAAAGTGATCTACCACTACTATTTTACATGGAATTACCACTCTTTTAATTGATTTTAGTATGTTGTCATCTCCAAACCTTAAGAATTTAGAACTCTCAAATTTCTGAACCTTACTTTGGTCATTAGTATTTAGAGGATCTAGCTAACACTTCAAGAATCCACTCCACATCCCATGGATGTGAATCCACTGTCCAACCCAATACAAGAGAATGGATCTGCAACTAGGACATTCTTTACTGAGCTGAAGATTCTTGTGACTAGTACAATTTTTTCTGCCTGAGCAGTGTTGCCCTCTTCTACTTCTGAAAATTGTCATTTCTAAAATCTTCCATTTTGGACAACCCATTGCATAATGATTTCAGAGACAGTAGGAACTGCAGATGCTGGAGAATCTGAGATAACAAGGTGTAGAGCTGGATGAACACAGCAGGCCAAGCAGCATATCAGGAGCAGGAAAGCTGATGTTTCGGGTCTAGACCCTTCTTCAGAAATGGTGGGGGGGGGGAATGGAGATTCTGAAATAAATAGGGAGAGAGGGGGAGGCAGATAGAAGATGGATAAAGGATAGGTGGAGAGAGACAGACAGGTCAAAGAGGCGGGGGTGTAGCCAGTAAAGGTGAGTTTAGGTGTGGAGTTAGGGAGGGGATAGGTCAGTCCAGGGAGGACGGACAGATCAAGGAGGCGGGATGAGGCTAGTAGGTAGGAGATGGGGGTGGGGCTTGAGGTGGGAGGAGTGGATAGGTGGGAGGACAGGTTAGGGAGGCAGGTACAAGCTGGGCTGGTTTTGGGATGCAGTGGGGGGAGGGGAGATTTTGAAGCTTGTGAAGTCCACATTGATACCATTGGGCTGCAGGGTTCCCAAGCGGAATGTGAGATGCTGTTCCTGCAACCTTCGGGTGGCATCGCTGTGGCACTGCAGGAGGCCCAGGATGGACATGTCGTCCAAGGAATGGGAGGGGGAGTTGAAATGGTTTTCGACTGGGAGGTGCAGTTGTTTGGTGCGAACCGAGCGTAGGTGTCCACTGCATCCCAAAACCAGCCCAGCTCGTACCCGCCTCCCTAACCTGTCCTCCCACCTATCCCCTCCTTCCACCTCAAGCCCCACCCCCATCTCCTACCTACCAGCCTCATCCCACCTCCTTGACCTGTCCTTCCTCCCTGGACGGACCTATTCCCTCCCTAACTCCCCACCTACACTCACCTTTACTGGCTCCAACCCCGCCTCCTTGACCTGTCTGTCTCCTCTCCACCTATCTTCTCCTTTATCCATCTTCCATCGGCCTCCCCCTTTCTCCCTATTTATTTCAGAATCCCCTTCCCCTCCCCCATTTCTGAAGAAGGCCCTAGACCCGAAATGTCAGCTTTCCTGCTCCTCTGATGCTGCTTGGCCTGCTGTGTTCATCCAGCTCTACATCTTGTTGTCTCAGATTCTCCAGCATCGGTAGTTCCTACTATCTCTGTATCTATTCTAATCCCATTTTATAGCACTTGGCCCATATCCTTGTATGTTATGATGTTTCAAGAGCTCATCTAAATAATTCCTAAATGTCTTGATGGTTCCTGCCTCTATCATCCTTTTAGGCAGTGAGGTCTAGATACCTACTACCCTTTGGGTGAAAAAAATCTTCTTCAAATTCCCTCTCAACCTACAGCTCCTTACATTATACCTCTGACCCCAGTCATTGACCCCTCCATTGAGGAAAAGTATAGCTTTCAAAAGTAAATTCAATAAATACCTGAAGAGAAAACTGTTGTTGGACTACAGGGAAGGTGATTAAGTGTAGCAACTGGTTGAGTTGCTCTTGCAAAGAGCTGACACAGGCATGATGGGCTGAATAGCCTCTTCCTGTGCTGGATCCATTCTATGATTCTAGAAAGCATAAATCAGGAGTTTGATGGAATACAGCCCCATTGCCTGGATGAGTATAGGTCCACCAACATTCAAGAAGCTTAACATCATATATGACAAAGCAACTGGATTAATCAGCATCAATACACAAACCTAAACACTCACCCTCTCCTTCACTGGTGCATAGTAGCAGCTGTGTGTATTTTTGTTTTAAACATACACTAGCAATTTGCCAAGGCCCTATGATAACTCTTTCCAAATTACTGACATTTATCACTTAGAAGAATGAGGATAGCATGCACTTGCCTGTACCACCACTTACAAATTGCCCTCTAATTCACACAATGGCCTGATTTGGAATTATATTGCTATCCCTTCACTGTGACTTGGTCAAGAACTTGGAGCCTCCTTCTTAACCTCTTCCCTTATAAATTTACCTGCACCACCGAACTGTAGCAGTGCTAGAATGTCGTTTGACATTGCCTCTCTGGAGTAATTAGAGAAGAGTAATACATGTTGGCCTTTTCAGCAACACCATCCCATGAATAATTTTTTGAAAAGCCACTTATTTTTAACTAAACAATTACTGAACTATTGAATCTTGAAAATATATTGAATGACTCAATATTTGATGATTTATTATTATTTATTATTGTCGAATGTGCCTAGGTACAGAGAAAAGTTTTGTTTTGCATATAGTACAGGTGTTAGCATAACAGGCTCCAAGCACCAAATGGGAATCAAGGCAGCAACAGATTAAAATGAGTAGTATCAATAGTGGGTGATAAATTAGAAATATTTTGTAGTTCCCTACCAAAAAGATGACTTCTGTCCCATTGGTAAGGACTTTCACTGTCTTTAATCTTTTACCTAGGTCTCAATTAAATTTTACCCAAGTTGATATGGAAGTCTGTGCAGTGGTGACAAAAATATGAAATCTGAAGGTATATTAGTAGATTAAAAATATTAGCAAGAAGATCAGAATATGGAAGTGAAAAAGAATTGGCATTTTGAATAGTAGAGAAGTGGGCATGAGTGATCCAAGTGAGCAGAGGTTGTGTTAACTGTACAGTGATGAGTACACAGATCACTGATCTTGCAAAAGCACAACATTGAAATGTATCCACAGGAGCCAGTCAGCGCAGTAGCAAGATCAGAGTGAAGCTGAGTGTTAATGGTGACAGCAAAGCTTCTCAATAAAAGCCTGAGGGTTGAGTATGAGATTGAGTCACTCAGGAATGAACAAAAGTGGCATCAGTGGAAAGCAGAGAGCTGTTGGGTAGCTAGTGGCTAAGTTGTTTTTCTTCACTTTAAAGCTGCATTAAGGAAGGGTAAGAGTTGTAGCTTATTTTTTTGAAAAGGTAACTTAAATAATTTTCTATATGTCTTATGTTTAGGCTAACTAGGGTAGGAATATTTTATCTAAAGGTATGGCAGGGGAGCTCAGTCCCCTATGTTGCACGGCCTGCAGTGTGTGGGAATTCTTAGATACTCCTGCTAGTCCTGCAGCTGGAGGCACAGCAATCCACTCACACGTCTGAGATTTATGTGGCTAGCACTTTTTAAAATATGGTCACCTCACAGCTTAAACAAGTGTGGCCAGGGAAGGAATAGATGACTACCATTCAGAAGAAGGAAAGCAGGTGGGTGGACAGGAAAGCGCCAGACTGCAGCTCACTCGAGAACAATTTTTCTGTGTTAGAAAATGGTCAGAATGACAGTTCCTCTGGGGAGTTCAGCCAGACCCTAGCTGTTCAAGGTGGGAGAAGAAAGAGAGGAAGAGCAATAATGGTAGTGACTCAAGAGTCAGACTTTTTGCAGATACAGATGTGACTCCAGGATAGTGAATTACCTCCCCAGGAGAGGGAGGGATAGTCAGAGGTTATGGTTCATATAAGTACCAGCGGAAAGGTAGAAAGAGAGGTTAGGTCATATAGCAAAAATTTAGGGAGCTAGATAGAAATTTGAAAAGCAGGACCTCAAGCTCTGTAATCTCTGGATTACTATTAGTAGGAATATGTGGATAGATGAATGTGTGGCTGAGGAGTCGGTGCAGGAAAGAGGGCTTTAGATTCTGCTGTTACTAGGTCCATTTCTGGGCCAGGTGGGACCTGTACAAGTCTAACAAGTTGTACCTGAACCAGAATGAGACCAACATCCTTGCATGGGGGTTTGTTGGTGGGGGATGAGGGACAGGAGAATGGGATACTGAGTAAAGGTACAATAGGAGCTGATGCATAGACAAATATAGAAGAAAAATCAAGACAGCCTGGAAGGCAGAGTGTAGGTATAGGTATATAAAGTTAAGGTATAAGAGATCATAGTAAGGCTGAATGGCATTTATTTTAATGCATGGAGGAGTCTTGCAAGGAAGGTAAATGAGTTGAGGATGTTGATTAGCACATGGGAATGTGATGTCATCGCTGGGGAGACAGAGGTGGTGTGTGTGTGTGTGTGTGTGTGTGTGTGTGTGTGTGTGTGTGTGTGTGTGTGTGTGTGTGTGTGTGTAAAAGAGGAGGTACTGCATTGAACAGAAATATCTTAGAAGCTTCCTTAAATGAGGACATATGGCAAATGAGAACAAAAAAAGGGCAAACACATTGCTCAGAGTGTACAGTAGACCTTCAGACAGTCAGAGAGAGATAGATGGCCAGATCTCAAGTGTAAGAATAATAGGTGATAATAGTAGGAGATTTCAACTTCACCAATATAGATAAAGTGTGAAAAAAACCATAGGGACTGTGAATTCTTCAAATGTATCCAGGAGAGCTTTTGAAGCCAGCATTATAGGAAGGATATGATTACACTAGAGAGGGCGCAGAGGACCTACATCCAGGTGTGCCTAGGCTGGAGCTTTTCAGCTATGAAGAGAGACTAGATAGGTTGGCATTGTTTCCCATAGAGCGGAGAAGACTCGGGAATCTGAATGAGATGTGCAAAGTTATGAAGGATGTAGAGTTGATAGGGAGGAACTTCTCCTCTTAGTACAGTGATCAGTATCCAGGAGGAATATATTCAAGGCAGAAGGTTTAGAGGGGATTTCAGGAAAAAAAAATTGCCTGGGAGTGGTGGGTATTTGGAGCTTACTGCTTGAAACCGTAGTAGATATGGGAACTCTCATAATATTTAAGAAGTATTTAGATGAATGCTTGAAATATCATAGCATGCAAGGCTATGGGCCAAGTGCTTGATGAGCAATGTGGACATGATGGGCTGAAAAGCCTCTTTCAGTGCTGTTAAACTATGTACAAGTCTGACTTCAGACTTTACATCAATGAGCTATGAAGAGGCACCTTAGGGAACTGAGCTGTTGCAAATTAAGTCACTTTGGAAGGAGTAAGAAAGAAGCAGACAGATGTGAACCAAGTGTTTAAAGTGATGAATAAAATTGGTGCAACTTATACACTCAAACTTACCTTCCCAGCTGCCCCTTGACTCGCACTCTCATCACTCCCACTGCTGAAATGGAGGCCGCTGACTCACAAGGCAAGTATTTTATACTCAAACTTACCTTCCCAGCTGCTCCCTGGTTCGCGCTCTCATGACTCCCACCAATGAAATAGAGGAAATAGAAATAGAAATAGAGGCAGGTGGAATTCAACCCCAAAAAGTGTGAAGTGATTCATTTTGGAAAATCGAATTTGAATGCGGAATACAGGGTTATTGGCAGGATTGTTGGCAGTGTAGAGGAACAGAGGGATCTTGGGGTCCACGTCCATAGATCCCTCAAAGTTGCCACCCAAGTTGATAGGGTTGTTAAGAAGGTGTATGGTGTGTTTGCTTTCATTAGCAGGGGGATTGAGTTTAAGAGCCGCGAGGTTATGCTGCAACTCTATAAAACCCTGGTTAGACCACGTTGGAATATTGTATTCAGTTCTGGTCACCTCATTATATGAAGGATGTGGAAACTTTAGAGAGGGTGCAGAGGTGATTTACCAGGGTGCTGCCTGGACTGGAGGGCAGGTTTTATGAGGAAAGGTTGAGGGAGCTAGGGCTTTTCTTATTGGAGCGAAGAAGAATGAGAGGTGACTTGATAGAGGTGCACAAGATGATGAGAGGCATAGATAGAGTGGATAGACAGAGATGTTTTCCCAGGGTGGAAATGGCTATCACGAGGGGGCATAATTTTAAGGTGATTGGTGGAAGGTATAGGGGAGATGTCAGAGGTAGGTTCTTTACACAGAGAGTGATGGGTGCTTAGAATGCACTGCCAGCAGTGGTAGTAGAGTCACATACATTAGGGACATTTAAGCGACTCTTGGATAGGCACATGGATGATAGTAAAATGAAGGGTAGTTTGATCTTAGAGTAGGATAATAGGTCAGCACAACATCGTGGGCCGATGGGCCTGTACTGTGCTGTGCTGTTCTATGTTCAATGTATACAAATTATCATTCCTGAGCTGGAGCTGGAGCTGAAGCAGGAGGAGGAGAAAATGAGCGTTCATGGGTATAAACAAAGGAAACTGGGATAACCAGCAGGAGGCACACTCCCTCGTGACATTGCACAGGAGCGAATGCACCATGACATTGTGCAACTCCTGGATGAGTACAACCTTGTCCGGAGCCCACAGGGCCCTTCTAGGCCCGAAACGTCAGCTTTCCTGCTCCTCTGATGCTGCTTGGCTTGCTGTGTTCATCCAGCTGTACACCTTGTTATCTCATGAGGCACGATTACTTTATTTCTAGAGTTATTGGAGTCACAGAAATACTGTTTATATTTCGTTTATGGTTCAGTTGAGAACATTCTCACTTCTGAATCACAAATTTCGATTCAAGTTCCCTTCCAAGACTTGAGCACGAAAATCAAGGCTGACATTGTATTGCAGTATTAAGGAAGACTGCACTGTCAGTAGTGCCACCCTTTGGATGGGATGTTAAGTTGAGCTGGATATGAAGGATTTCATGGCACTATTTTGGAGAAGCCTGAGAGTTGTCTCTTGTATCCTGCTCAATATTTATCCCTCGATGAACATCGCAGAAAACATGGTCTCTGGACCTTGCTCAACTTTTCATAAACAGCAATTTAGCAGCTGGACTTTCAGCATTACAAGAATATATTACATGTGTTACATTTCAAAAGTATTTCAATGGCTGTAAAGTGTTTTCAGTAACCTGTTAGGTATGAAAAATGTGCAAGTCACTTTTTTCTTTATAATCATAGGAAATTCTTGGACAGTTGGGACTGACGAAAGGTCAGTGTTGGAACAGTCAGAGTTGTTTTGTTTATTTTAACACAGTGTGGAGCTGGAGGAACACAGCAGGCCAGGTAGCATCTGTTTTGTTTATTTGTCTTTTAGCAGAGTCCCTCTATTTTGCAGAGGTATTATTTTAACTGTGAATGTATTGGGTTGTCTGTTAGACTGCAGGATGTTACTGTGCTTGTCATTGAATGGCTTATTATGTTACAGGAGATAGATTAAGTTCGCAGCAGACATTCTGACAGCCTTACTCAGTCTGTAATTGATCCACAAACCTTTTGAACATTGGGGGATGATTTTCCACGTAATGTTCGATGTACTGGGTGTTCATGTCCAGCTAGCAGCTGTGTAAAAGGTAAGCATGTTTTAATATGTTCTGAGTGCTGTGAAAGCATCTTATCTGTTCATGACAGTGAACCAAAGGTATTTCAGCATGCAATATGGTGTTTGAAGTGCGAAGAGTTCGGTGTGTTAATAGTGTCAGTGAGCTTTAGTGTGTTAAATGGATCAGGTGTGTGTAAAGTTTGGCAATATCTGTGACAATTGTGGGAGTGAGGATGGGAGGACTTTTATGACCATTCATGTCATGTTGTACCTGAAGGAGGAAGTACGCTATGTCTTACTCAGTCAACTTGCAGAAGTCATTAATTTGTAGATGGTGCAAAAGGTGGCCATGTGATTGAGAGTAAGAAACAATAAGCTACAAGAAGATACCAATGTATTTGTAAGGTGCACAGAAAATTCATTAATTGAACATCAGTTGTAGTTGCGTCCACACACACCTGTATGTATGCATAGTCATATCCACACTCAGCTGAGGGTGTACCCACAGACGTTATCACACACCTGTATGTGTACACAAAAACTTTATCAGGACACCTGAGTGTGTACACACTGACATGTCCATACACGTCCATACGTGTGCACAGTTATAAACACACTTTCCATAGACCTACATGCATGATTAAATGCAGAAGAACCATGAAATAGAGAGACAAGATTGCATAAGGAACATAAAAAGTTAGCATGCAGATATAGCCAGTAATTAGGAAAGCAAATGAAATATTGGGCTTTATTACAGGGACATTGGAGTACAGGAAAAAATGTCTTTTAACAGGGCTTTTCTAATATCACAATACTGGGTATTCGTTCCTGGGATGAAGGTGTTTGTTCTGTGATTAGAAGCTGAGTAAATTGGGCCTACAATCTCTAGAGATTAGAACAATGAGAGGTGAACTCCTGAAAAAAAGCTTACAAAATTTTGAAGGTGCTTAATAGTGTAAATCCTGAGAGATTGTTTCTGTGATTCAAGGCATCTAAAACATGAACAAATTTCAGAATAAGGGGCCTATCATTTAGGATTGACATGAGCAGAAATTACTTCATTCATAAAGTTTTGAATTTTAGGAATTCTCAATCCCAGAGTCTTGTGGATGTTCCATTGTTGAATATATTTAAGGCTGAGATAGATTCATTGTTTCAAGGAATTAGGGATAGGGGCAAGGGTGAAAAAGTGAAGCTAAATTCCAAGCTAAATAACTGGTCTTGGTAGAGCAGGCACAGTGGTCCAAATGGTCTGGTCCTTCTCCTATTTTGTGTATTCTTGTGTTCTTTTATCATACCACCAATGGAGTAGATCAAAACTTTGCAGCCATTTAACATTTAGTGTGAGTGGTATTAGACAACTAAAACAACTAATCTGAGAAGGAATAGGAGGCTCCATAAATATCCCCATTCTCAATGACCCAGTACATCAATGCAAAAGGTGAGGCAGTTGTGACTATATTCACCTGAAAGAGTGATGTGGATAATCCATCTTGGCCTCTTGCTGAGATACCTAATATCATAGACATCAGTTTTCAGCCACTTCAGTTCACTCCAAGGTGATATTAAGAAATAGCTAAAGGTGTTGGAAAGTCTACGGGTGCTGACAAAATTACGGCTGTATTGCTAAATATGTGCTCCAGAATTGACTGTGTCCTTAGCCAATATGTTCCAGAATAGCTACAACATCAGCTTCTATCTGACAAAGTGGAAAATTACCCAGGCGTTATCCACAAAAAGCAAGACCACTACAATCCAGCTGTCATTTTATCCTCAATCATCACAGAGTGAGGGAAGATGTTGTAGACAGAGCTATCAAGTGGCACTTTCTTAACAACAACCTGCTCACCAATGCTCAGTTTGGCTTCTGTCAAGTCATTACAGCCTGGGTCCAATCATGGAGAAAGCTGATTTTCAGAGGGGAGGTTTGAGCGATTGTCTTTGATATTAAACAGCCCAAGCAAAACCGAAGTGAATCAAAATCAGAGGGAAATTCTCCTCTGGTTGGCATTATACGCAGCACAAAGGATGATGATTGAGATTGACAGCTATGTTAGTCTCAAACATCGCTGCAGGAGTTTCTCAGTTTAGTGTCCTAGGCCCAACCATCTTCAGCTGCTTCATGAGTAACATTCCCTCTATTGTATGGACAAAAGTGAGGATGTTTACTGATAATTGCACAGTAATCAAAACTGTGCAACACCCATCAGATGCAGATTGATCCTTCATGCAATGGGACTTGGACCATTTTAATATGAATTTATGATCCCAGCTGATGTTATAAAATCTGGCTTGAAAGCTCTCTTTTATTTTAGTTAATATGGTAGCTAATCACTAAAATACAGTAACATGAGACTGCAGATTCTTCAACAACAGAAGTTTACTACACAAAAAAACAGGTTATTGAGACATTGAAGATAGTTTACAAAATTCAAAAAGGAAAAAGCAACACAAAGTCTTCAACTTATTTCCCAAAACCATCCATTAACAGGAATTAAAATCCAGAGAAATTATCCTTCTATTTCAGAAATTAATGTTCTACATGTTATGCTTGCAGCTGAAGTTACTACTGGACAAGTCAAATCCCAGATAGGAACCTGACTTGATAGATCATATTTTGATTTGTTGTAGTTTGAACAAAGTCGTCCTTCACTGAAACATAGACATGCAATGCTGCAGGCCTTGCTTTAATGATAAGACACAAATTTAGTCACAAAAGAATTGAAGATGAGATAGAATCAACCAAATCATTTGCAATACAATACAAATTCAAAGATTTTTAAACCATTCAGTAAAACCACAATCCAATAACTCTCAAAAAATCCTTTATAAATTGAAAAGTGACAACAGCTCTTGTGTGATGCCCAAAATACACCCCTGATACAGTGCACAATTTTCATTGTTCAGGGGCATGAGGTATGGACTTCCTGCATTAATCAAAAAATGGTGCTTCCACATAACTCTCCTATGTATCATGTTGGATCGTGCACTCAGACCGCTCAAGTCAATAAGACAAAAAATAAGATGGGTGCTGGGGCCAACCTCATGATTACATAGATGCTCAGGTGACAGATCAGCAGATAATGAGGAGTGAATGTATCTAAAACACCACTAGTATAATACTCACACCGGAGTTCCTCTATCTAATATCTCAGTAGATTTAAGTAAATTGTGACTTCAGCTTTTAGACTGGAGCTGCAGGTAGCTTTTTCCTGGAACTATCATACACCTGAGCCTCAATGTACTCAGCTTTAAGTAATCTCTTCAGGGTATCTGGTCTGGGAATAACACTAACTCCTCACTCCAAGGTAACCTAGTTCACTATACATTCTTCCCTTAACAGGAGCATGGGTCGATATGGCCATCCTATTCCAAAGACTTCATGGAACTACTCCAATCGGAGAATCAACTGAAATCCAAAAGTCTTCCTGTCTCATCTATGGGCATATCTTAAGCTTAAAAAAAATACGAGTCCCAGAAGTCTGTAACAAACCTTGATGCCCATTATTTATCTTGCTGGTCTACGAAACAATTTAGAATGAACAAAAATCCATTAATAGTGCATAAAATCCATTTACTGTAAAGCCAGGCCTCAAAAACTGTTTCAAAATAAATCATCATGGCTACTCAGAACTTAATTATTAACTTCAGATAGAGAGAACACTAACTGGTTACTAGCTCAAAACCTAGAAACACAAACTTACATTAAATAATATTTTTTTAAAAAATGTAAATCCCAGTTTACATCACATACTTAACTGTTTCTCCCCAGTTTCTTCCATGTGAACAGTGGAATCTCCTTATATGAATACCAGAAAACTGAAAGCTTAGACTTTCAAAGCTTCCAATAACCTGCAGATTTCTAACTAAACCCTTGTGGTCTCAAAGATGTACAAAGTAAAATTTTGCTGATAAAATGATTCCATGAACTGCTCTGAGATATTCCTTTCTTAGATACAAACTGTATTTGCTTCTGACCACAGGCAGGTCTCTGCCAAACTGCCTTAAGAACTTTCAATCTCTGGATTTTCTAAACTAAAATCAATCCTTGATTATTATGAAGTGCAGACAAGCTAATGGCTAATATCTGCCCTAATTATCGTAAAACCACAGTACAGTTTGTTCTGCTATAATGTGTGTACCGACAATGCGAATTGGCTGTAACGCTATTGATGAATAGAGGAATGCTATTTCTAAAACGTGAACTTGTGTTGGCTGTAACGCAATTCCATCAGTGCACGGAGGAGTACATGTGACATCACATGATTGTTTCATGGGCTTTGTCGTGAATATGTACAAAGTTAGCATCGAAAGAGTCTCCGCCCCGGCATCATGTGATCACTTCACGGGCTTTGTCATGAAGTGCTTTCTGTGAGAGGTACAGTACAACCTGCTCCCCCATCAAGTCATCTTGACATTTTTTCAAGGTAAAGTGTTAAATTTACTTTAATTATTAGATATGAATTAAACATTTATTCAAATTGTGCTATCCTTTGTGTTAGGCTTTTGAGAGATTTTTGAGTAATTTTGAGTGATTTTTTTTTGGTGGTCTGTCCCTTACCCCATGTTTCCCATAGACCCCGTTATTTCTATAGCGTAATGTTCTATAACGCCGTGTTGCACAGGAATGCAATCATCGCGTTATAGCAGAACTGACTGTACAAAACATCTTATTCCATGAACACACTGGGGGTTTGCAGTTGCCTGTTCTCTGACAAAGTCTGTATTGGGTCATTGTTCTGAAAGGTCTCTGACCTTTTTTATTTAAACAGAAAACACTTCACAAAAGTGACCAGTGCTCATATGCCACTATTTTGAAAGCCAAACTCCAAAAATAATATATATTTCACCTGTCATCACAATGGGTTCTGTTCTTCATATAATCTCAGACCACATTTTTAGGTTAAATTTAAAGAATGTTTGTTCGTAGCCTGTGCATATTGTACGAGTTCTGACCTCATAACAGTCATATCACATGACTACTGTTGTCCCAGTGACATCACAGCATACTTCAGAGTTTCATCTACATGTTCATTATACTCTATGTCTAATTCTCCTCTGAAATACTTTTCCATTTTTCAATATTATTAACTTTTCTTAGTATTTTCTTAAGATTATTGACTGAAGTGTTTAACTAAAAGCATTCCCATTTAACTGACTGTGTTTCCAATCCCACCAACTCCCATAGTCCATTGTTCACAGAGTTAGGCGCTATGGGGATCTCATAATTCCTCCTGATCTGGTCATTTAAAATGCCATAAGGTGCAATGGCCTGGAATCACAGCTGAAATCAGATGAGTAGAATCAGTAACGTTATCTCAAATCTCATTATACTTAAAAGGACTGGCTTCCAATGGGTTGCTGTATTGGAAACTGAAGAATAGGGATCCATTGAAAGGCTATAATTACTGCTTGACAGGACCCTAATTAATCTTACCTCTTCCGTGATTTCTTCTGTTAAAGAGAAGCGCTCAGAATGAAAGATCATTGAATGCGAAGTCGCACCATCGCACAAGAGGTGTGAGGTATAAGCATTCAGCAGCATGTTGAAGCTCTTATGGCATACTCTTATGTTTAGGAGTAGGAAAGAGGGTTGTGAATCACTGAGAAAACTGCAGAATATTGACTCACTTCTGAAGGATTTGGCAAGAATATGTCTATAGTTATGGAAAACCATTCGAGATGAACTTCAACATTGACTGCTTTTGTTTCTGATGGCATATTGGGACACTAGACAGAGATAAAGAATATTTCCAACTCTCATTATTTTTATGCTTTAGTTTTCTGAAAGAATTCCCTGCACATCCAGAGTTCTCTATAATCTTAAACGGTGTCATTAGGCACATTTTGTTTGCTGCTTGTTGAAAGATTACCTTGTGAATCTGAAGTACTGAAACTTCCAGCACATCCTCAATAGACACATACGTGTAGTAGTTCTTCATGAATACTGTTGGTCAATTATACTAGCATCACCACAGAAGGTGAAGAATTCTGCTCACCTTAATGTTGAAGAGTATTAGAGGGATCTTAATGTACTGTTTTGAAGTCTGAAGAGTCAGATGCCACATGATTCTCTTCCTGAAATAATGAAACTGGTCCTGAAAGTAACATCAGGCTCGCCCTCAGATGTGTATCCTGGTCAGAAATCTCAGGACAGAGACTCAACCACTTCTAACACAGCTAATGGAATATCATAATGCTGATCAAAGCTGAGAAAGTTCTCCACAAAAATAGTCATCCAATCTTCTTGGTATGAAACTTCAGTAGTTTGAGAAAGCTTTAGGAATTCTTCACAAATAACCATCCAGTCTTCTTAAGATGAAAGCTGTCATTCCTGGACAGAGACAATTCCTCACAAAGTGGAATGCAATCATCATGTTGGAATAGAGCATCTTTATGTGGCTCGTCTTTTGGTAGCTGTTGTAGAAGATCTAATTGGACTCATGCATTGCAACTGAACAAGAATTTATTGTGATTCTGTACAATGTAATTGTGCTGTAGATAATTACTTCAAAATGGCCTTTAGTGGAGAGGTTGTGGCTTCTTGACTTTTGATGGACATACCGTATGAAGCCATTCTAAACTGTCAGGCAGCACAATAATTGTTGCCCTTGAATTAAATAAAAGTATCAGATTCCTGATTTTCAAGTATAATGACCAAGCATCCTGCTCTAGATCATCACCTTCTGCTGTAGGACCAACAATATCCACTTAACCAAGAATGTGTGTAATTTCTATGTCTCCTTTCTCATCCTCTTGTTAAATTTGCTGGATTCTTCTTTATTCCAGAGATCTTTGCAAAATTGTTAGAAGTGATTGAATCTTCCAAAGTGAAAGCATCAGATAGCGCCTGCTCGCCAATTTTGTTGCTTGGATTGCCTTCTTGCACGACATCTGCAGCACTTCAAAATGACAGTTCCCACCTTTTTCTTGATTTTGACATGCTCCTTTTTGGGTAAGATGGACAGCTTTGGGAAGAGCCAACTTATGTAGTTTGATTCTATCTTCATGAAGGAGGCCACAAATAATGTCCCAAAAATGTTGGTGAACACTGGTTGCCATGAGAGAAATCAGTATTAATGGGGAATAAGTGTTGGGGAAGTTGATGGAATTAAAGGCTGATAACTCCCTGTGGCCCAATAATCTACATCTTAAGGAAGTAGTTCACAAAATAATAGATGCATTAGTGGTCATCTTTCAACATTCTATATACTCTGAAATAGTTTGTATGGATTTGAGGGTAACTAATGTAATCACACTACCACAATTCTTCCTACGTTTACCCTGTCTAGTCATGTTAGAATTTTATAGGCTTCTATGAGTTCCCCTCACATTCTTCTAAACTCCATTGAATCTAGCCCAAACTGATCCAGTCTGTCTTCATAAGTCAGTCCTGCCATTCCAGGTCTGGTAAATCTTCATTGCACTCCATCCATAGCCAGAACTTCCTTCCTTGGATAAGAGACCAAACTGTACACTATTCTCCAGGTGTGGTCTCACCAAGGTCTTGTACAGCTGCAGCAAGATATCACTGTTCCTATTACTTGAATCCACTCGCTGTGAAGGTCAACATACCCCTTGCCTCCTTCACCATCTGCTGCATCTGCATGCTTACTTCCAGTGACTGGTGTACAAGGACAGCCTGGTCTCGTTGCACCTCCTTCTTTCCCAATCTATCACCATTCAGATAATAATCTGCCTTCCTGTGTTTGCTGCCAAAGTGGATAATCTCACATTTGTCCACATTCTGCTTCATCCGCCATGCATTTGCCCACTTTTTCAACTTGACCAAATCACACTGAAGCATCTCCGTATCCTCCTTGCAGTGCACCCTCCTATACAACTTTGTCTCATCTGCACGCTTGGCGATAGTACATTTAGTTCCCTCTTCTAAATCATTAAGATATATTGATCCCTATGATACCCCACTAGTTACTGGTTGCCACTCAGAAAATGACATGTTTATTCTTACGAGGGATAACAAGATGTAGAGCTGGATGAACACAGCAGGCCAAGCAGCATCATAGGAGCAGGAAGGCTGACGTTTCGGGCCGAGACCCTTCATCAGAAATGGGGGAGGGGAAGGGGGTTCTGAAATATATAGGGAGAGAGGGGGAGGCGGATAGAAGATGGATAGAGGAGAAGATTGGTGGAGAGGAAACAGACAGGTGAAAGAGGCGGGGATGGAGCCAGTAAAGGTGAGTGTAGGTGGGGAGGTAGGGAGGAGATAGGTCAGTCTAGGGAGGACGGACAGGTCAAGGGGGTGGGATGAGGTTAGTAGGTAGGAAATGGGGGTGCGGCCTACTAACCTCATCCCGCCCCCTTGACCTGTCCGTTCTCCCTGGACTGCCCCCATTTCCTACCTACTATCCTCATCCCACCCCCTT